ATGCCGGCACCTCACCTATGAGTCTGCTTTCTTATCTGGAGAATAAAGATACTCTTATCTGTCTGCTGAGACAACTGGTATGAGGAACAGGAAGCTATATGAGGAAAGTATGTTATCAACTGTAAATTTGTATAAATGTTATATATTGTTATTGGTTACTGCAGAGAAAGGTATGAACTGCTTAATAACAGGCAGCTACTACTGCAGTAGAATGAGAATCAATAAATTTAAATGTTAGTACCAACTCTAGTGTGACTAATTATGAGATTTGGGGCAAATTATAATACCTCTCTGTACCATAGTTTTTTCACCTGTAAATTGAGAACAATGATGGCACCTATTTCATAGGGGTTGGTAAACATTAAATACGAAACATGTGAGGACTGTAGATAAGCTATAAAGTTCTCTACCAGTTGCCCATCTAACCTATTTTCATACCCCAGACTTGGTAGGTCGCTTCACCACCAACTGTACTGTTGAAACATGTCAAAGTAGTATTTCTCTTAGGCTTGCATTAATCACTTATCAAGACGTCGCCACTAGGAGGCGATCGAAACGCCACTGTTCCACATTATATAATCATTGTGCCATTTTGGATCTTTAAAGTTCTAATTGCTCACTCCTCCTCTGCATACTATGTGCCCAGCACTGCTCCAGGTACCGAGGGTTCAAAAACAAATATGATAAGTCCCTGTAAGGAGTTCACATTCTATTAGGTGACATAAACATGTAAAAAAATAGCTACAGAGCAATATAATATGCTCTCATAAAGTTGTTCGTGAGTGCTGAGGGAACACCAAGGAGGGAATAAGTAATTCTGCTATCTGAGGTGAGGAAAATAAAATTTGAGCTGGCTTTGAGGGTTTACTAGGAAAAAGGTAAGGACATTGTAGAAGACACGCTGACCAGCTGGATTAGTGTATAAAAGGGCAAGGACATGTGAAAGGCCATGGTGTGGTCAAGAGTAGTGAGTAATGCTCTCCACGCTCAGGCTTCTCTCCTGTACTTCTCTCACTTCATTCCCTCCCTCATTTGTTACAAGTATGTCTCTGTCTTCCACCAGAATGCAAGCTCCACTAAAGGCAAGAACCAGCCACATTCATGTTTGTGTCTCTGCTTTGCCCAATCCCAACATTTGGCATATAGCTATGTATGTGGTAGGTTTTTAATAAATATTTTATTAAATGTATCCTCTGCACTATTGTAAGTTCTGACATAGTCATAGAAGCCTGCAGTCATTTTTAGCTGATCAAAATAATAAAAACCATTTGACTTTATATCAATTATAGCCCAGACTTTACTTAAATGATAAGTTGGGTTAAAGTGATTTTTTGTGAGTCACTTATTATCTAGATGCAATTTTTATAAAAAACATGTCTATAACTGACTTTGTGTTTCAGTCAACATTAACACCAGGGTTTTTTAGAAAGTACTTTTTTCACAATAGAGATTAAAAATAATAAAAACTGTGTATAGCAGTAATTCTCCAAATGTCTCAACGTTTATGTAATCACCTTTATGCCATGACATCCTTTGATATTTACATGACTTTAAATCAATGCTAGCTTTGAGTGATATTAACACAGATTGTAGAGAAAAGACCTCTAAAATCTACTTGTTAATGAAAGTAATGTGAACAATAACACAAATCGTTAAAATCAACTTTTTCAGAATTCTGGTATTTAAGCAAAGACTTGCAATTATCCAAGGGGTGTTGAATTCTAAAACCCAAACCAAAAACAAAACACACACAAAAACTCAACAAGTTTTATTAGCTGAACCATGGTTCAAACAGAAAATGCTGTGCATTTTAATTCCCCTTTTCCCATTTCCCTTCCCATTGCCACAGTGGCCCTGGAAGCCAATAGCCTCACAATCACAGTAGCCACAAGAACCAGCAACTCAGAAGCCAACAGAGGGAAAGGAATGAATTTGGAGCTTCTCCAAAGTCTGTCCCCATCGAAATATCACTATCTGACCTGTCTGGCACTTTCTTGGAAAACTTGAATCACAGCGCTTGTCTTCATTTGACATGACTTAGAGCTCAGGCATGGTACACAGATCCCTCCAAGCAGGGATGTTTATCAAAAACAATTAGAGGCAGCTGTTTAACATAACAGCTATCTTAGGTCATAACAACACTTACGGGAAACAAGAAGCTGACCAAAAGTGTATAAGGAAAAGCTTGCAACTAGATGTCCACAGGCAACACTGAAAAAGCTCCAAAATATCCCAGGGTATCTAGAAGGACGTGTACGTGTGCAGGGCTGTGTACGTGCTCAGTAAAGACCTAAAAAGGCCCTAATCTTTCACCTTGCTGACTTTAGGGATCTATGCATCATAAAGTTAAGGCTAAGGCAAAGTTACCAAATGCCTTCTACACTGTTGAAAGTATCTCTCAATGTACACACAAAGTCCCTTAGCCGAAGGTTGGAAATTTATTGGTTCATAGCATTGATATTCTTTGTTGAACCATTAGCTAATAACTTAGCTATTCCAAGCAGACACCTCAGTGATCACACATCACAATGAATACAGACTTTATGGAATTACTGCAGAAGTCATTAAATAACTCACCCTGGCTGGTATGGCTCAGTAGATTGAGCACTAGCCTGCAAACCAAAAGGTCGCTGGTTCGATTCCCAGTCAGGGCACATGCCTGGGTTGTGGGCCAGGTCCCCAGTTGGGGATGTGTGAGAGGCAACCGGTAGGTGTTCTGGTACCTCTCACACATCTCCCTCTTTCTTCCCCACTTCCCACCTCTCTAAAAATAATAAGTAAAATCTTAAAAAAAGAAGTCATTAAATAACTTAACTACAATAAACCCTGGGGAGAGGAGGGAATCTAATTTCCAGAGTTGCCACAGTGCATTATTTAAAATGTCCCATTTTCAACAAAAAAGATGAGACATGAAAAGAAACAAAAGGCATAGGCCAGGTGGGGTCAACAATATGGTAAAATAGGAGGTGCTGTGCTTGTATCTCCCCTTAGCAACTATAACATGACATTTATTCATGAACAAAAGTGCTCTGTGGGAACTTTGGGATCCAGATAGGAGACTGTGAAAATTCAGTGGAGCCCAAGACCAGTGGGGGCCACTTTAAGAAGGCAGGTCCAACCCAAGTGGCTGACTCACCAACCATGGTCCAGCTACAAACTTGGAAACAGCTCCATCACCCTGTGGGCTCAGCTAAAGCCCTGTCTGTCTGTGGTTCTGCCACCAGTACCACAAAACTGGCCTTCAGAAGTAAAGGAGAGATGAAGACATTCCCAGACAAAAGCTGAGGGAGCTCATCACAGGAACCTGCCTTATAAGAAATACAAAGTGAGTTCTTCAAGTTGGAATGAAAGAACGCTAAGTAACAATAGGAAAACATGTAAAAGGATAAAACTTACTAGTAAAGTTAAATACATAGTCAAATGAAGAATACTCTAATACTATAATGGTGGTGCATAAATCACTTTTTATTTCTAGTATAAAAGTCAAATAGTGTTAAAACTAACTGTAGGTATAATAATTTGTTAATGGATGCACAAAGTAAAAAGATGTAAAATGTGACATCACTAACATAAAGTGTGAGGAGAGGAGACTTAAAAGTGCACAGTTTCCGTATGTGGTTGAAGTTAACCTGTTATCAGCTTAAAATAGACGGTATCAAATATAAGATAGACATAAGATGCAATCACCTCCAGTCAGGCTTACCAGATGGTCAAAACTGGACATTATATTCAGTGATAAATGGGGCTACTAATTAACTTCCCTCCCCCGGCAGGACAGCAAGCCAGAGCCCAGAGACTGTGACAGCTTGTTATTTTGGAGCCTGAATCAGGCCTGAGTGTTCACTGAATTCCCTAGTCGGATGAAATCACTGATGTTGCTCTTGTTTGGGGAAACAATTGGCTGTGCTCTCTGTTCAAGCACTACTGTTCATATGACTGTTGAGTGGGCTACGCAGCTTACTGTGTGTTCTAATTAGGTCCCCTGGTTGGACAGGCTGACTACTGTATTTAGCAATGAGCAAGGGCCATTAGTTAGATTGCCTGTCTGGTCACAGCAGGACAGGTGGTTCCAAAAACCGGTAAAGCTCTTTGTTGTTTTAATTCAAGCCAACCTGCACACCAAGTTCCAGGGCCTTGGCTCAACAGGCCTATTGGTTTTACTCTGTGAACTATCAGCTCTATCTGCCCTTCTCTTGGTTCCAGTGCCACTGGGCTACAGGGGAGTTCTCTCCAGCACTTATCAATGGGGCCGGGAGACTCTCTTCACAGCAGCTGGGGCTAGTCTCAGCCCCTTGCCTGGAAGGGGAGGCGGGGTACTCTAGGCTACTCTGGATTTCCCAAACATGCTTTCCAGTTGGGAGGGACTAGGACCGACCCTCAGCCTTGGCTATGCATTAATCCCCCTGTCCATATATAGCAAGGAAGCCTCCATGCCCGGTGATGGCTTTGCTTTCGGGTAATCAGTTCTGCCCACACACCTCTCAGCTTAAACGCCACTAAGGACAAACAGCTTCTAGTCATCAGCAGCATTTCTGGTCAAATGGACTGAAAAGCATTCTCTACAGCAGGTGGTGTTACGACTCAGCATCTTGCCTGGGCACGACCAAACCAGTCTCCAGTGATGGAAAATCAGGTGTATCTGCACCCCACCAAGTTCCGTGGTCAGAGTATGTCCACTGTTTTGGTTCTGTAGGTGAGCAAAGCTGCTGATGGAATTGCTACAACCAGCATGTAGATTGCCAAGATCCACGTGCTGGTTGTTGCAAGCTGCCACAGTCAGATTCCCAGTGGCTGGGTCCTGTAGATCCCCCTGCAATCCCCATAGTGCAAGATCAGAGTGGAGGCTCCCACTAAGCAACCCACAAAGGCTGGGGGAAACTCCTGGCTCCCGCCACCCCACCCCCAGGTTCTCTTTTCCCACGGGAGGAACCAGAGGCTCTGTGTGGTGTTGCACTCCCTTGGGGGAGGAGCAATTCAGTGAAAATGTAGATACTTCTTACCCTTCTAATGCAGTGTGTCTCGGTCTCAGAGGTGCAGGTGGGTGCTTCAGCCTCACCCCCATGTTCTAGGATTCTCTCAGTGGAGTTTTATTCTTGAATAGATATTAGCTGTTCTTGTGAGGGGGAGTGAGGTCAGGAATTACCTATGTCGCCAGGTTGGTGACATCATTCTGAGCTTCAATTTTAACATCTGTGAAGTAGGGATAATACTTTCTGGTCATAATAAAGATTAAATAAGACAATAAATACAATGTACTTTGTAAATTATAAATCAGTTTACAAGTCCAATAAATATTTATGAAGTACTTGCAATAGGCCAGGCATTAATTGTGATACAGTGATATACAAATAGTCCCTGACCTCAAACAGTTTATAAAATTAATGACCCATTCTACACAGCGTGGTATAGTGGAAAGAACACAGACACTATTAGTCAGACACCTATGTTCAAGTCTTAGCTCTGCTACTTATCAGCCAAAGAATCTTATTTTTTAAAATAGATTCTTTTAAAAAATCTCACAAATTTATTACATTTTAGTTCCCTGATGTTGGGCAGAAATAATGCTTGCAAAAATTGTATTACAAAAAATATATTTCGTGAGGATAGATGATGCAAACGATAATAATAAAACCATCTTTATTATGAAAGTTAGGTAGCAAGTGGAATATTCGGAGATCATCTACAGTACACCAAACTGTCACCATGTCTTTTTTGAAACATTTTATTTATTTATGTTTTTAGAGAGAGGGGGAGAGAAACATCAATGTGCAAGAGAAACATTGATCAATTGCTTCCCATATGGGCCCCGACTGTGGACTGAACCTGCAACCCAGGCATATGCCCTGACCAGAATGAAACCAGCGACCTTTTGCTTCGCAGACAACGCCCAACCACTGAGCCACATGTGCCAGGGCTGTCACCGTGTCTTGACCTAAAAGCAGTAGTTGCACATGTTGGTATGGACACTGTATATTCAATTGTTTTTTTTTACAAAAAGCTTTATTGAGATATAAGTAACATACTATACAATTAATCCATTTAAAGTATTCAATTATATAGGCTTTGGTATATTTACAGATATGTGCAACCTTCACCAGTCAATTTTAGAGCATTTCATCACTTCCAAAAGAAACCCCACATGTGTATTGATTGAAAGACTTAATATTGTGAAGATGTCAATACTACTCAAAATGACCTACAGATTTATTTCAATCCCTATTAAAGCCCCAATGGCAATTTTTGCAGAAATAGAAAAATACATCTTAAAATTCATATGGAATTTCAAGGTACCCCGGATAGCCAAAGCAATCTTGACAAAAAACAAAGCTAGAGGTCTCATACTTCTATATTTCAAAACCTATTACAAAGGTCCAGCAATGAAAACAGTGTGGTACTGACATAAAGACAGACAGATAGACTAATGGAATACAATAAAAAGTCCATAAAATAACCATCATATATATGGATGGGGAAAAGGCAGTTCTTTCATTAAATGGTATTGGGCAAACTGGATATTCACACAGAAAAGAGCACATTTGCACACTTAGTTTATGACATATACAAAAATTACCTCAAAAGGGACATAAATGTAAGAGCGAACACTATAAAATTCTTAGAAGAAAACGTAGGGGGAAAGCTTCATGACATTGGTCTTGGCAATGATTTGCTGGACATGACACCAAAAGCACAGACAACAAAAGTAAAAAACAGATAAACTGCATTAAACTTAAAAACTTCAGAGCATCAAAGGACACAATCAACAGAGCGAAAAGGCAATCTAGACAATCAAAGAAAATACTTGCAAAACATATATTTGAAAAGGGTTTAATAGCCAGAATATGTAAAGAATTATGGAAACGTCATAGAAACAACAGATAAAAAATGGACAAAATATGTGAATAGACATTTTTCCATCAAAGACATACAAAGTACCAATAAGCACATGAAAAGATTCTCAACAGCACTAATCATCAAGGAAATGCAAATTAAATCCACAATGAGATATCACCTCACACTTGTTAGGGTGGCTACTAGAAAAAGCAACCAGAATGTAAGTATTGGCAAGGATGTGGAGAAATTGGAACCCTTGTGCACTGTTGCTTGGACTGTAAAATGGTGCAGCCACCATGGAAAACAGTATGAAGTCTCCTAAAAAAATAAAAAATAGAATTACTATATGATCCATCAATTCCACGCCTGCGGATACTCCCCCAAAGAACTGAAAGCAGGGTCTCGAACACATATTTGTACACCCATGTTCATTTCAGCATACAAAAGCCAAGAGATGGAAGCAACCCAAGTGTCCATCAATGGATGAATAAATAAAACAATTGTGGTATATATACCACAGTGAACATTCAGCCTTAAAAAGGATGAAAATTCTTTTGGTTGGGGTGGCAGAGAGTGGGAGGGGATACAGACAACTGTAATTGAACAACAAAATAATTTTTTAAAAAAGAAGAAAATTCTGATATTTTCTACAACATGGATGAACCTTAAGGACATGATGTTAAGTGAAATAAGCCAGCCACACATGCAAAAATACTGTCTGATTCCACTTCTGTGAGGTTATCTAAAGGAAACTGACTCTTAGAATCAAAAAGCAGAATGACAGTTGCCAGGAACTGGGGGAAGGAAGATAGGGGTATTACTGTTTAATGGATATAGAGCTTCAGTTTTGCAAGATAAAAATCTAGAGAGCTGTTGCACAACAATGTGTTTGTAGGTAACCATATTGTACTGTCTACCTAAAATAGGATTAAAATTATAAACTTTATGTTTAAAATAAATAAATAAATAAAAATTTCCAGCCCTGGCTGGCATACCTCAGTGGATTGAGTGCGGGCTGGGAACCAAGGCATTGCAGGTTCGATTCCCAGTCAGGGCACATGCCTGGGTTGCAGGCCACGGCCCCCAGCAACCGCATTGATGTCTCTCTCTCTCTCTCTCTCTCTCTCTCTCTCTCTCTCTAGCGCTCTCTCTCTCTCTCTCTCTCTCTCTCTCCCCCTCTCTCTAAAAATAAAATAAAAATAAAATCTTAAAAAAAATTTCCAATGCATGTAGCTTGCTATGACAGAATGAGGAGATAGTCTGTTCAAACTAAAATATAGTAAAGATGGTAAATTTTATGTTATGTGACTTTAAACCCAACTAAAAATAAAAAAGCAGTACTCTGAAACCTTTAGCATTCACACACCTATCCTCACATCCCTCCCTACCCAAGACCCTAAGCAATCACTAATTTACTTTCTGTCTCCTCTTCTGGATTTTCAAATAAATGGAATAATAGTAAGTGGTCATTTAGTGACTGGCCTCTTTTACTTAGTGCAGTATTTTCCAGATTCATCCATGGTGTAACATGTATCAATACTTCATTCTCTTCATGGTTAAATAATATTTCATTGCATGGTCTACAACCATTCATCTGCTGATGTACATGGGTTGTTACCACCTACTGTCTATTTAAAATAATGCTTCTATAAATATTCACCTCTAAGTGTCAATGTGAACATGTTTGTATTTCTCTTGGGTACAAATATATGAGCAGAATTGCAGAGTTATGAGGCAATTCTATGTTTCATCACACTAGAAACAGCCATGCTAGCTTAAAAAGTGCCTGCACACCATCAGTGTATGAGGGTTCTTCTGATTCCTCCACATCTTCGCCAACACTTGTTTATTATCTGACTTTTTTTAGTTTAGCCAATCTTTGTGGGTATAAAGTAATATCTCATTGTGGTTTTGACTTGCATTTCCCTGATGACTAATGCTGCCGAGCATTTTTTCATGTGCTTTCGGCCATTTGTATGTCTTCTTTAGAGAAATATCTATTCAGATCCATGGTCCATTTTTACATTGGGTCATATTTATTACTGATTTGTAGGTGTTCTTTATATATTTTTAAATAAAAGTTCATCGTCAGATACATGATTTTCAAATATTTTCTCCCATTCCATGCATTGGTTATCTTTTCATTTTACTGATGGATTATTCTGAAGCACAAAACTTTTTCATTTTGATGCAGTTAAATCTATTTATTGTCTTTTGTTTCTTGTGCATTTGTATCGCTGTCAAAACTCCTACATCATGAAGATTTATCCTCATGTTTTCTTCTAAGGATTTTTAAATGTTTTACTCTTACCCTTATGTTTTTAATCCATTTTGAGTTCATTTTTGTCTATGGTATGAGGCAAAGGCCCGATTTAATTTTCTTGTACGTGATTATCCAGTGGTGCCAGTACCGTTTTTTGAAGACTATAATTTCCTTCAATAAATGGCCTTGGCAACCCTGTCACAGATCAGTTGGCCACAAATGGATGGGTTATGTTTGGACACTCAATTCTATTACATTTATCTATATGCATAAACTTTTGCCAGTAACATAGGCTTTTTTTTTCATAAAAAAATCTATTTATTTTTCTTTTTTCAATGAATTTATTGGGGTGACATTGGTTCACAAAACCATAAAGGTTTAAAGTGTACAACTCAACAAAACATCATCTGCACACGACATGTGCACCCATCACCTGAAGCAAAGCCTCTTTCCGTTCCCATTTACCCCTTTGCCCACTTTCACCTCCCCTACCTCCTTACCCTGTGGCTACCACCATACTGCTGTCCATGTCTATGTGTCATATATACGTATTTTTGATTAATCCCTTCACCTTTTTGATCCCAGCCTAACCTCTCTCCCCTCTGACAGTTATCAGTCTGTTCTATGCATCTATGCTTCTGTTTATATTTTGTTAAAATATTTTGTTGATTGGATTCCACATATGAGTGAAATCATATGGTATGTCTTTCTCTGACTGGCTTATCTCACTTAGCATAATAGTTTCCAGGTCCATCCATGCTGTTACAAAAGGTAAGATTTCCTTCTTTTTTATGGCTACATAGTATTCCATTGTGGAAACGTACCACAACTTTTTTATCCACTCATCTAGTGATGGGCACTTGGGCTGTTTCCAGATCTTGGCTATTATAAACAGCACTGCTAAGAATATAGAAGTGCATAAAATCTCTCAAATTAGTGTTTCAGCATTCTTAGAATATATTCCCATAAGTGGAATCACTGGGTCAAAAGGCAGTTCCACTTTTTTTTATTTTTTGAGGAAACTCCATACTCTTTTCCACAGTGGCTACAAGAATTTGCAGTCCCACCAACAGTGCACTAAGGTTGTCTTTTCTCCACAACCTCACCAACACTACTTATTTGTTGATTTGTTGATGATGGCCGTTCTGGCAGGTGTGAGGTGATATCTCTTTGTGGTTTCAATTTGCATTTCTCTAATGATTAGTGACATTGAGCATTTTTTCAAATGTCTATTAGCTACCTGTATGGCCTCTTTGGAGAAGTATCTATTCAGACCCTTTTCCCATTTTTTCATTGGGTTGTTTGCTTTCTTGTTGTTGAGTTTTAGAAGTTTTTTGTATATTTTGGAAATTAACTCCTTACCAAGATGTATCATTGGCGAATATGTTTTCCCATTTAGTGGGTCCCTTTTTTATTTTGTCGATGGTTTCTTTTGTTGTGCAAAAGCTTTTTTAGTTTGATGTAATCCTGTATGTTTATATATTTCCTTTATTTCCCTTGCCCTAGGAGACATATCAACAAAATTTTTGCTCTGAGAGGATATGTGAAATTTTACTGCCTATATTTTCTTGCAGGATTTTTATGCTTTCACAACTTACGTTTAGGTCTTTTATCCATGTTGAGTTTATTCTGGTGTACGATATAAAATGGTGGTCTAGTTTCATTTTTTTGCATGTACCTGTCCAATTTTCCCAACACCATTTATTTAAGAGGCTGTCTTTATTGTATGCTCTAGCCTCTTTAGTCAAATATTAATTGACCATATAAGCACGGGTTACTTTCTGGGCTCTCTGTTCTGTTCCCTTGTACATAACTAACTGCTTTTCTCTTGCTGCTTTTAAGATTCTCTCTTTGTCTTTAAGCTTCGGCATTTTAATTATGATGTGTTTTGGTATGGGCCTCTTTGGGTTCATCTTGATTGGGACTCTCTGTGCTTCCTGGACTTGCATATCTTTTTCCTTTACCACGTTAGGGACGTTTTCAGTCATTATTTCTTCAAATACAGTGGTCAATTCATTTCGGAACTCATGATGAGTGCCGAAACTGACAAGTACCAAACGATGAAGCATTTTCTCTTGCAAGGCAGTGTTGTGAATCACACAAGTTCTAGCAAGTGCAACAAGTCCCAAGCAAGCACCGAGTGTTGAAACATTTTTTTTTCCTCATCAAAATGCAACAAGTACAGAGTTTGATGAGCTCTGAAGTCGATAAGTACTGAGGTATGACTGTATGTTTTTCATCGCTTGCTCTCTCTCTTTTCTTTCTGGTACCCCTGTGATGCAGATGTTACGCTTCGTGTTGTCCCAAAGTTCCTTAAATTACCCTCATTCCCTTTCATTCCTTTTTCTTTTTGCTGCTCTGAGTGGGCATTTCTTTTCTACTTAAACTTCCAAGTTGCTGATTTGATCCTCTGCTTCATCTAATCTACTTTTTATTCTTCCCAGTTCATTCTTTTCTTTCTCCCAGTTTATTCTTGATGTCAGACATGGTATTCTTACTTTGTGACTGGTTCTTTTTCATGATTTCTATGTTCTTTTTCATGCTGTTGTAGTTCTCACTAAGTTCCTTGAGCATCCTTATAACCATGTCTTTGAACTCCATATCTCATAGATTGCTTGCTTTCATTTTATTTAGCTTTTTTTTTCTGGAGATTTCTCCCGTTCTTTCATTTGGGGTGCATTTCTTTGTCTCCTCATTTTGTCTGTCTCTTTGTATTTCTCCTATGTATTAGATAGATCTGCTATGACTCCCAGTCTTTGTGGGGTGTCCTTATTTGTAAGTGTCCTTTGTCCAGTGATGCAATCTCCTGGATCTCCTGAGCTGGATGCTCTAGAAATGTCCCTTGTGTAGGTTATGTGGGCCCTCCTGTTGTAATTGAGTCTTGATTGCTGTTGGTCTATTCATGTATGGGATGGACTCTCAGGCTGGCTGGCTCTGAGGCTCAACCCCAACCAGAGCATATAAGCTGCTGTGCAGGTGCAGTGTTGCCGTGGCTTTTTCTGCAAATCCTTGGTTATAAGGCTCTTCCTCGGCTTCTCTCCTTTGATGAAATGGTTTCTGAGGTCAGTGCTTGATATCTGTTCTCACCATAGCAGGCCTCTTCTAAGCTCTCTAACCCCTAGTTCCCTTCTGTGCAGTCCTGGCCTACAGTCTCAGCTGTATTTTCATTAGATCTACAAATATCCTCCCAATTCTCTTTCCTAACCTCCACTCTTCTTGAGAGCACCCTGAGGTTTAAACTTCTCACTTTGTAGCAAATTTAGGAAAACATTAGGAGCCATATGTTTTATGGCAAAATCTCTGTGCCAGGGCTCTCAAGCTAGTGGTAGGGGCAATGGGAAACTTTTCTCTGAATGACATTATCACTCTAGTAGCTGAGTTCTTGTGGGGCGAGGGAAGTAGTTTGACATCCTCTTGGCTTGCCTCTTCTGGAGTGGTGTCACTGCCTCGTGAGCTGGGGGAAGGACTATAGGAGCCGGAGTATTCTCGGCGTACCATGTCCAAAGTGAAGCTCCTGTTTCTTTAGTGGGGTTAGTCTCCACCTCTTCAGGAGCCCCCTCCTATCTACTTCACTTGCCTACGACTTAGCATCAACAACAGGTAGCTAGGGCAGTATGAGAAACACTGAGATACTGCTCTTCCAAGGAAGAAAGCACTCTGGCTCGGAAATGAAGAAGGATCTTGCCTGTTGCAGTTTTGAGTAGTTTCTGTCTCACTGAGCTGAGAGTGTCAACACAGAAGAAGCTCAAAGTGGTCCTATCTTGCTTCTAACAAGACATTGAGTTGCTTTTGAGAGACAGCAGTCCAAAACTGCAAATCATGAAGGTGAAGCATGCCCAGAGGAGAGAATTTTGACTTCCAGTTGCAACTGGAAACAAAGTTTCACCCCTCTCTCCATGGAACAGAAGGACCGGTACATTATCAGAACTTTAACATTACAACCTTTTCAGATGCAAAGGGTCAGTTGTATAGGAAACTCTGGTACTGAAGTCCCTCCACCATATCTTGACATAAATAGCCATGTTCCAAATATCGCCAATCAAAATTGCCCTGCCAGCACTTCTGCATATCAGCCTGTTCCACCAAAGTCCTTAAAACTTGCTCTAAACTCTGGATTGGGGAGACATATTTGACTCTTGCCTCCTGTCCTTTTTTTTAAAAGATTGTATTTATTTATTTTGGACAGAGGGGAAGGGAGGGAGAGAGGGAGAGAAACATCCATGTGTGGTTGCCTCTTGTATGCCGCCCACTGGGGTGCAGTCCACAACCCAGGCATGTGCCCTGACTGGGAATCGAACGGGCAGCCATTTGGTTCACAGGCCGGCACTCAATCCACTGAGCCACACCAGCCAGGGCTATCTTTTTGTCAGTTGACTTAGTAATAACAACTTTTTCTTTTCTCAAAAGCCGGTGACATAGTATTGGCTCCCATATGCACGGGGCACTGGGCCTTTGCTCAGTATCAGGAGGGGAAAGGGAGAGAACAGCTTGGTTGCAATACCACAGACTCTCACTTTTCTTAATACATTTTCATAGGGTTTTTTTTTTAATACATGTTTCTTGATTTTCTGCTTGCTCTTAGGACCATTTCCAGAGGCTTTAAATGGTTGCTTTTAAAAAGTTTTCACCAGTTTCACTGGAAAGGTCAGCAGAGCTCCTCGTGCTGTTATTTTGGAAGTTGATCCCCTGTACATTCAATCTTGCTTACATTTAATAAAGTGGCTGATTTCTTAGATATCTTGAACCCATGCTGAAGTGTCCAGCAGAACTCCTGCACCATCCATTCTTTAACACCCTGACAACAAATTATACCCAATGAACTTGCCTTATAATGAAACTTATATTTTTCATGCAACAGAAGGTAACTCTTACAGCTCATAATTTGGACCTACAATTGATTTCATTTTGTGTGTGAAGGTTAAGAGCTGTCCTCCTTTTAATAATAAAAAATGCCAAAAGAATCGCAGAAAACTTGAAAGCAGGCTTAAATCTCAAAGTTATCTAGTTAGGGGCAGAGGTATATTAGAACTCTGGCATCTAGATGCTCAGGCTTGTGGCCTCTGTAGTTGAATATAATGCCTGTTAGACAGCAATGAACAGACTGTGCATGCTTCAGTGTTTATATAACATTTTAATCTATATTGTCTCATGTCATCTTCACAGAAACCCTGGAAGGGAGCATGGGAAGTATACTATTATTTTCACTTCACAGGTGAGGAAACTATAATTCAAATCTACAACATAGGGAGAAAATAACTTACATGGTTATTTTTATCTATAGTATCTTATGTAATATTCCTAAGACCCTAGAAGATGGTCCGAGTAGTATACTAATATTTTCACATTATAGATGAGAAATTAAATTCAAACATCCAATATAGAGGTAAAATGACTTACATGGTTACCTGACTCAAATCTCCTGTTCTTTCCATCATACCAGGCTTCAAAGGAGGTTCCTCAGTTGGAACACAAACCCTTAACCTTGAGGCAAAGAATTGCACATTCTAATAGTGATGTCAACATTAATACAGAGACATAAAATAAACTAGGAAACTTAGCGCCATATTCTCACCTCAGACCCTATGACTTCTGACCTGAAGTTTGCCTCTTATTTCTTTTCATCTTCCCCCTGATTGATAGTCCAGACTTTTTTGTGTCTCCTTTGTTATACAAAAGTAGAGTCAGTCAGGTAGTTGCAGCAGTGAGAGATGGTGTCATTTCAGAAATAATACTCTGGGCTTCTTGATGATCCCTACTGGAGCTACCTCATGGTCCCCAAGCTCTTTATCTTCCTGGAGAACCAAAACATTAAAATAAACCATAGTCAGTAAAAACATCTTGGGACTCAGTGCATTTTCTTTGAAATATCAGACAACAAAAAACTGTGTAAATACACCATGAAGGAAGAAAGCAGCTTGAACCTAATCAGTTCAATATATTTCTTACTCTTATCATACTTTGGTATGCAATCAAACGGTAATACCCAATTTGTAAATTAAAAAAAAACAACAACTACAAATGCTTTGGTGAAAAATAATCCACACAATCACATATACATGCATTCTTCCCTTGCCCTAACTCCAGAGTTGATGTATTCTGAATCATATATAGACCTTGGTTCAAATTTTTACTCTGCCACTTGCTAGTTCTGTGACCTGTAGCTTTAGGCTCCCCACCTGTAAATGGCAATAATACAACTTACATCGAAGTGCTCTTATGAGAAAACAATGAGACCATGTATATGAAGGAACCAGAGCCAGCACATTGACTAGAACACAGTGATCACTCAGTCGATGTTCTTTGTTTTCCTTTTCTTTTACAATGACAGTGAGGAAATTACTATATTTTGCCATGTATAGTGAGCATTTTTTGCCCAAATATTTGAGGGGGAAAAATAAGGCTGTGCATTATACATGGGTATAATGATTATAGGCCATGGGTATAATAATCCCATGTATAATGCGCAGAAAAATGTGGGTGCACATTATACACTGCAAAATATGATGGTGACCATGAAGCTCTCAGAGAACAATTCAGTCTATTTCATGGTATTGATGCTATGTAAGAAAAAGTTCAGAAAAGACAGAGCAGCGAGAGGATTACAATGGTTAAGGAAGTCTCCCTAAAGAAGGTATGACTAGAGTTTGGCTTTAAGGGATGTATACCCTTTGGATGAATAGCCCAGTGTATGTCAAAATCCTTTCTGAGCACTGAAATACTGTACAATGGGCCAGGGTGCCCCATTATTTAAATGCAATAATAGTAATCACTTCTCAATTTTTGAAGCAATTAAGATAACATTTTCTCAATTTGACATTTCCCTTTTACACATTTCTTTAATTCTTTGGTACTTGCTACAGCTTCTCTAAATTAAAATATACAACGAGAGTAATACATTTAGCACAACCATACTTATTTATTTTATGTTTAGTACAGTTACTTTGTGATAGTCCACAGAGAGAATCATGACCTCAGGTGCTCTGATACCTGAACACATTTGAGAGACACAGAGATGGGCAAAAAACATGAATCAAATGGGGAAACAGTATAAAGATAGCATAAAAAAGTATTAGATAGTACAGTGAGCAGATCCATCTGGAATGGACAGTATGTGTTATAGATTAATAGAAAATAATACTTAGGTAATAATAAGGTATAGTACTATCCTGAGTATAGTAATTTACAATTTGCAAAGAGCTTACACACATCAGGGTTAATTCTCCTAACAACTTTGAGACATGAAGAGGGCAGGTAATATAGTGTTATCATTAATACCGACAGTTCTAATTATTGAACATTCTCTATGTGACAGACATCACTGCTAGATGCTTCACCTATATTATCTTCAATGTTCGTAATAACCCTGCAATATAGGTGATATCTTAATTTTACAGTTGAGTAAACGAAGATTTTACAGAGGTTGTCATTTGTCCAATGCCATACACCTAGTAAAGTGAAGATGCTTAAATCTGAACCTCAGGTCTGTCTGATACCAGCTTGACTATACTAGTCTAAGCATGAAAAAAAGAAATAAAAGAGGTGAAAGGGAGAGGGCAGTAACAAGTGTGTGACATTGTAGCTTACCTAAAATAACCCTAAGGTTGTGTCTTCCACAAAATAAAGTAATTTTAAGCCCATTCTGTAACAACAGCAAAAGACCCCACTTTGAAAGCCCAGTTGCCATGCTGAAGTACTTTGGGAGTACTGGGTTCATTTTGGAACTCATGTGCTAGAATAATGTATCCAACTGGAAATAAGAGAAATAAAAAGTTTTCTAGATTGACATTATTTACCATTGATTTGTTTTTCTTGTCTGTGGGGACAAACCAACACAAGCTCCCTGTATAATAGGGATGTGTAAAGCCACCCACAGGGTGAAGTGTGAGGAGTCTTCATGACTGGCTCCCTATCGAAGTATTTCCCTTCTGTAAGGAGAGGGCCTGCGGTTGCCAAAGCCAGGCACCAGCACCAAGGCCGGCGTTGGCGCCCCATCATCTCTTGAAAGGGTGAAATGTTCAGGATACTCTTTTAGGAGGAACAAATCATTTCACCTGTGGGAAAAGGCTTGGCTCGTCAATACCCGTCATGGAGGAGATAAATACTGACATTTGATTTTAGACTAGAGACAAGGCAGCATCTGTTTTAGCTCCAGAAAGAATGATGAAATCTGTTACAGAATTTTGGCCCTTATGATAGGGAAGCTTTGTCACCCCTTCCCTACTGCAGGTATACTTGAAACCCAGGAGGCAGTAAAAGGCTCCCGAGAAGCCTGAAAGGATGACACTTGGTTTAGAAATTAAACCTCATTTAACTTTACTCATAGAAAGAGTTCTTCCATCGTGTACTTAAAGCCAAATAACACATATTGTGATTAAAACAACTCTTTTTTTTTAATTTAAAAAGTATAAATATTAGTTTTGGGTGTACACCTGACTGATTAGACAATATATCTTAGTAAGTGATCACCCTGATAAATCTCATACCCATATGACACCATACATATGTGTTAGAATATTATTGACTATATTGCCCATGTGATACTTTATATCCCCATGACTATTTTGTAACAACTAATTTGTATTTCTTAATCCTTCCACTTTTTTACATCGCATAATATTGTATGTCAAATTTACTAATGTAAAAATAAAAACACGATTTTTAAAAGTATGAATAAGCACCCTTGAAACTATTTCATTTTGGAGAAAATGGCATGTTTTGCCAAAAACAAGGAAGATTGACACTGCTTTTAGTTATCGAAAAAATTCTGGGTTAAAAGCACTCAAAAACAAAGTAAAATAAAAACACACAGAGGTTCTACATTATCTTCATAGAGCCTTCTCTATTCTCCCGGCAGGGGTGTCCAACCTGTCGCCCACAGGCCACACACATGCAGCTCCAGATGGCTATGAGCGCGGCCCAACACAAAATCGTAAATATAATTAAAACAATATGAGATTTATTTTTATGATTACATGTCACAATGTATTTCATGTGTGGCCCAAGGCAACGCTTTTTCCAGTGTGGCCCAGAGACACCAAAAGGTCGGATACCCCTGTAAGTGCCTTACTACTCAAAGGATGGTTCACTTACCAGTAGCATAGGTATCACCTGGGAGCTCATTTCAATGCTGAGTGTCATACGTATTAAATCTGAATATGCATTTTAACCAAATACCAGTTAAGTGTGATAAGCATTAGTCTAGGCATGGGAAATGTTTTTTCAAGTGTCACTTGTGACTACTTTCATTAGAATCTGGGGGATTGGTTTAAATGATAAGGCTAGTTAAAAAAAATAAGGGTACTGGGCTCTACCTCAGACCTACTAAATCACATCTCTCAGAGTGGGATCCGGGGGTATGCATTATCAAGTGTAGCAGGGCAGTACATTGCAAACTCGAGCATATATCAGAGTTACTTGGAGGGCCTGCTGAGGCACAGATTGCTGGGATTTACCCCAGAGTTCTCTGATTCAGTAAGTCTGAAGCAGGGCCTGAGATTTTGCATTTCTTTTTTTGCAACCAGAGAAATTTATTTTCAAATAGAAACATATATACATTAAGCTTTAAAAATAGACCAGTTTTAAATAAAAAGGAAAAAAAGCCCTTTGATCCCAGTGCCTACACAGCATGGATTGAGAAGCATTTGAAATTCACGTAGGGAGCACTTACAGACAACTGGGCATGGAAACCCACCTCCCTGCCTCCAGAGTCTGCCAGGTGGAGGACACTGGGGTGATGGCACAGCCACTGCTCACGTTAGATATTCCTGTGGCGAGAGCCACCAATGGCCAAGGGTAACCACGAGGCCAACATCTTAGTGATCAAGACAGATGTCTTTAGTCTGCGGGCACTGTAAGTGAAGCCAGCTCCTCTCAAACACCACAGGAAGGGACTCAGGAGACATATGAGAAATGCTCAGGGTTTTTGGCAATGTAGAAGGTGTAATGTCCAGGAACTCATGAAAAATGCTCAGTCAGCTGATCATCCAAGAGGTGCTGCGTAGTGGTCCATGGGTGGCTCATGGGGGGTTTCTACTGGGGTCCCTCCTTGCAGGACCCCCCACATTTGTTCAGTCTGCTTCTGTCCACAGGGCAGGGCCATCACTGGTTCAGGCAGACAAGAAATACCACATCGTCCCTGAAACAGGTGAGGAGATGGGAGGTATGTACGGTGATGATGAAGGCAAAGACGTCATCGAGGAAGGTGTTGAAGGTCTTGTACCTGAAGGCCTCCCAGGCCTTCCCTTGACTTCACCTTGTAGTTCACAAAGAGCTGGGGCAGCATGAAGAGAAAGCCAAAGGCATACACCCCATTGATGAAGCTGTTGATGAACCAGCAATACCAACTCTTACACTTGATGTTGAGCAGTGAGTAGACGATGCCCTGATGCACAGACGATAGGGCAGGTAGAGCAGGTACTTCATGGCCTGAGTGTTGAACTCCTTGGTTTTCCTCTCAGATCCACTGTAGGTGCCAAACTGAAACTTGCGCCGGAGACACCTCCAAACAGCTGTCATTTTCAGAGCCTTTTTTCACTTCCACAGCTTGATGACAGCTGCGACACCTGCCGGGCCCAGCACCAGCAGGCCTGTCTGCTCATCCGGCAGGAACAGAAAGATGACCACAGTGCTGATGCGGTGCCAGAGCACTGCTTTGGTGAACATCCCAATCAGGCTCTTGTTTTTCTTCCAGAAATTGATGTTGTTTTTAAATGGTAGGAAATCAAACAGAAAGTGAAACACTGGTGCAAAGAAGGTCAACGTTAAGAAATACAAGTTGGTACCGACAAAACTT